TAATGGTTTTAATGAATTGTTTTTTAGTGAAACTATTCTTTTCCAGAATCTTTATTTGACATCTTGTGTTTAAGACAAATATTTAAGGCTCTAAACTATATTACAGTTTTGGAAGAAAACCAAAGTACTTTTGTTGCTTAATAGCCATAGTCTTCAATGATTTTGAGAGAATGAACTTAGACTTTCCAAATATGTTTCAGACTGTGTAATAGAAATGTGATTTGGACATCAAAAAATTTTAATGAAAGTTTTCAAACTTACACAAAGTGTAGAGAATAGTATAATGAACCTCTACCTACACTCCCTCAGTTACAATAAACATCAAGGTTTCTTCACATTTCCTTCATCTGTCCCTTCCCCTCTTATTTTTTTTGCTGAAATATTTTTAAGTAAATTCTAGGCATCATGTTATTAAATATTTCAGGATGAATTTCTTAAAAATACCTTTTTTCAAATATTAACACTGTTTCATTATCACAATGAACACAGTTGAAATAATGTTTCATTTAAAACCTAGTCCATATTCAGATTTTAGATAATGTTGAAATAGAGTCAGTTATTGAGGGCAAATTAAATGTATCATATATGTTACATTTAAATGAAAATGGAAAGGTGCCGGAATTTCTCCTCCTACTCTCATCCCATAGACCTTGGGAAGAGACATCACTGTATGTGTGCCATGCTGTGTGTTTTATTGGGAGACCAGGCTGCGTGAGTGATTCTCTAATTTTTGAACATTCCTGAATAAGTTGAGTCATTATCTAGGATACAAATCTTTAAGGAGTTGAAAGGGAACTAGGAAGATGGCAAGGGAAGATTACTCTCAGGAATTAACGTGGAACATTATAAATATAACTTTTCCTGATAACTCTAGTGTACCTATTCCTTTTTGAACTCCTTGTGTGATACAATTTAGCATTTTATTATATAACTGTTAACCTAGGATATTTTATATAAGTACCTTAAACTTCTTGAAGATTTAAACAGTATCTCATTGATAGTGACATCATGACATTTGACATAATTTCTGAGATATATGCAGCTTTTAATATGTTATTTTTATATTTTCTCAAAGTCTTTGCTACCTGAAGCTGATCCTCTAATAAACATTCATGAAGTATTGGGAACATTATCCATGTAATTATTACATGCTTTAAAGTAATGTAAAATTAATTCTCACTTTACTTTTTTAAAATTAGGCAACAGCTCTATAACTTGGAAACCTTATTACCGGCCAGCTGTGATTTTGGTAAGTTGTGTGTTTAAAGGCTAATTACAGTGAATTGCACGTGGGTTTTATGATGCATAATTGGGATATCATAGTAACATGGAGGAATTGTTAGGTCAGAAGTTCAGGATACAGTGTATGACACTTTTTCTGAACACTAAATACAGTTTTGTTGTAGCTGAGATTTACAGTATTTTTTTCACATCTGTAGGTAAAATTGATTTAAGGCTAAATATCTCAGGAATGAATTAGTAACAAGCTTTGGAGGTGGGGAGTGGGATAGGAACTCATATAAGAGAAATAGTACCAGACCTTACGCTCGCTTCTTGCTCTTTTCTGCTTCCTGTTTTTTGTTTGTCTGTTTTTGACATTTAATGGATTATTGATTGGGGGAGGGGGAGCAGAGGAGGCGATGGATATAGTTAAGATAATGAAAGGAATTGAAGGACAGTCTTTTAGTGCAAACCAGCTGCTGCTCTTTTCTGGCAGTTTTGGTGCAGTTTGTATTTAGAATCATGGCTCTGTAGTCAGCCTGAGTTCCACCCCAGGCTAATTGTGGGTCTCAAACCAGGTAAGACTTTTCACCTCATTGAGTTCTTGTGAGAATTAAATGACATAATGCAGGTTAAGTGCTAAGCTTAATATCTTATTAGTGATGTTTAGCATCTAAAGATTACCTGGAACACACTTTTGATCAAAGAAAGTTTTAGTGGCTTACTAATGCAGAATACTAAAACAGAACATCCCCTCTTCAGCTAATATGATTATTTCTTCTTAACTAAGTAGAACCCTCCCTAGACTCTATATAAAAATTAACATAATCATCAAATTGCCCCTGCTTCTTAGCAGCATCCAATCCAGACCAAAGTCCTTAAACTCTCCCCAAACTCAGTCGGCACAAGCCCAAACCCTATTACAATCCCCTCTCCACTCCCTCTTATTGAGAGGCCCCAGCTGTTCATGATGTAGATTTAACCTTTGCAGCTGTATCAGGGCTCTGTTACTAAACTCATGAAGCCAGAGTTCACAGCAATTGTTTTTAACAGAGTACTGCCTTTATGAACAGAATTGTGAAACTGAGGGATGATGTGACTTTCGTAGGTGAAATATAATTAAGCTATGAAAATGCCCTGTACTGTTTAACATGGAGATATTTGCATAACATATCCTGTTGGTTTTGACAAAGCGGAGGTCATGTTTACTCATTTAAGTTCAAATTTAGAAATAAGTTTTGCTTTATGTGTGATAAGGTTGAGAATTTGTTGTCTTCTCATCATGTTATTTTTTTTTTCTGCTTTTGTTTAGTGATTGTCTCTTACTCATTTTTCTTATAGTGATTGTCAGTGTTTCGCATATAGTAATGTTCCAGGTAATTTTTGCTGATATAGATGTTAAAGTGTGGGGAAGATGGCATGGGTTGAAGTTGGGAGAAAGACAGACAATATTAATACATCATTCGGGGCTTTATAAATCATTACAAAAAGTCTTTATTTCATTCTAAATATAGTAGATAGCCTTTCATGGGGTTTGATTTATGAGGTCAGGAATTGACATATATTTAAAGCATATTTTGTGCTTACAGTGTAGAGGGACAAAGAAGAATATGGGAAGACCTATTAGAAGACCTGTTGGAATAATTTAAGATATTCTAGAGAGACGTATAGTTTGAAGGTGTATTTTGGTCATAAACTTAGTAGGACTCTGGTGGATTAAATATAAGTTTTAAGGAAATGAACGAAGCAAGAATGAAATATAGGCAACTGTTGGCAAAAACATCAGCATGAACGGATTTTGGAAGGAATCATGGATGTATTATTTGTAGTGTCTGAGCAATCTAAATACAAGAAGTTAGGCAATCTGACATGCAAGGTCTGGAGTGCAGAATAGAGGTCTGGGTTATAGGTAAACCTTTTCAAGTTGTTATCATTTTGAGATAAAGGAACTGACCATACACACAGGAAAAGAGAGAAGAGGCCTGAGGACCACGTCCTGAGGAGCCCCCATACTAATGGTAGGATAGAGGAGAAGGAGTCAGTAAAGGAGAGGCAAGAGAAAGAACACATGAGGAGGAAAGAAGACTGGCACTGTATGGTGCCAGTGAAGCCAGGTGTAGTCAGTGCTACTGAGGTGGCCTTAATAATGGATTTTTTTGGGGGGTGGTAAGAATTACATAGAAATCAGTGGACAAAATTAAAAGAATTGCTGCTTATATGTTACTGCTCACTGATTAATCATTTAAGCTATGATTAACTTCTATTTTGGTTTCAGGGAAGATATCAACCCTACACTGCAAAGCAGACAATATTAGGCAGCAATGCGTAACATTTCTTCATTATGTTAAAGTTTTCATCGTCAGGTAGGACGTCAGTTGAGTCTTTTGACTACTGCATGAATTTCTGAGTACATGTTCATCCAGACTCTGGTGGTTTATTGTATCTAATTGTTTTTTAGGTTCCTGACAGTACAGAATACTGAGAATCATGGTCCTGTTCATCCCTATGAGGTTTTGGAGGCTCAGCTTCCCTCACTGTTGGTTGATGAGCTTCATGGATTACTCTTGTACATTGGACACCTATCTGAACTTCCCAGTATTAATCCAGGAGCATTTATAAGTCAAAATCAGATTCAGGTTTGCCTTATTTAACTTTTAAATTATCAGTTTTTCTTCTTACAAGGAATATTTATTCAAGAATGAAGGAAATTAGTCAAGAGTGCAGCTCTGGACCAGATGGCTTGAGTTGAAATTCTGGCTCCTCCTTTTATTAACTATGTGCCTTTGGGCAAGTAATCTCTCTTGTCTCATTCTCCCCATCTGTATAATTGGTATAGCTTCCTAGAGTTACTGGGAGAATTAAATAAATTAAAATGAATAAAGCATTTAAAACATAGTATACACTAAATCTGAAAACTTCTCTATTCCAATTTATAACAGTGCAAATGTTTAAAAGTTTCAAATCAAATAACCTTTATTTTCTAAAATATGTGTCATCTTTCCTTTTTTCTTTTTTTAAGATTTTAAAATTGATTTTTAGAGAGGGAGGAAGGGAGAGTTAGAAAGAAACATCAATGTGAGAGTGAAGCATTGATCCGCTGCCTCCTACATACCCCCTACTCGGGGATCAAGCCCACAACCCTGGCATGTGTCCTGACCAGGAATCCTACCAGCAACCTTTCAGTGCACAGGACAATGCCCAACTAACTGAACCACACTGGCCAGGGCTCCTTACTTTTTTATTATAATAAAATTCAAGAAGATTACCTTATAAAAGTTACACTTTCAGAACCACATCATTTTGTCTAATCTGACCTTTGAGATTTTCAGAATATGATTAAGATGGTTTTGACTGCCCTGGCCAAGTGCCTCCATTGGTTGGAGTGTAGTCCCATACACCAAGAGGTTGTGGGTTCAATTTCTGATCAGGGCACGTACCCAAGTTACAGGTTTGATCCTCGGTCAGGAGGCAACCGATTGATGTTTCTCACTCTCTTCCTTTCTCTCTAGAATCATTAGAAACATATCCTTGGGTGGGGTTTAAAAAAAGATTGTTTTGACTAATGTCCCTTTCCCCCTACCTTTTATTATTCCATCTGAAGTTATTTTATTTTTTTAAATTTGTATTGTAGCATAACCCAGCTTCCAGATATAATTAACAAATTCTCCATAGGATAATGTGAGTTTAAGTGGATGACAAATTATACTTCCCCATTGATTCCCTGAACTTTTAACCTCTTCCATTCTATTTGACCTCACCAATTTGAACATTTAATTTTTAGGAACATATATTTGTCAAAATGTAAAATACAATTAAGTGTTCATATATGTCTGTGGAATTTAACAATAACAAACAAATATTGACTCTTTATAAGGGATCAATATATCTAACAATAAAAGTAAATAGGGTTTCAATTGAATTCACAGGTTTATCTGTATAATCTATAGAAAGCAAATAGGTAATTGCTTTTAATTATATCATTTAATAAAGACTCATAGGTAGATCTTGGGGGAAGGATAGTTTTCCTTTATTTTAGTCTTTATAAATTCAAATCATTTTTATTTTCTGGACATCCATTAAGTGGTTAAGAAAATAATTTATCTAGGAGCAGAAGTAGAGATTGTGTGCTCCGGTCCTCAAATTAGGTTTTGCCCTTCATAGGCTTTTCAGTTTAGCAAACTTGAAAAGATAGGTTATTTGAAGATTACAAGACTGAATTTTTAAAAGCAGGGGAATGTAGTCTTCAACACGTAAAAAATAAATTATGCACTAAAATGCTCTTCTAAAACAACAGCAAAAACATCTTACAAAATAAAAAGCATCTTTCAAGATTTTATGTATTTCTTCTATTTTACCAATCTTATATATGACAAGTATTGATTTAATTGGTATTTTCTGTTGAGTATGTTTTATTTAGTTTTTGGGGGGAACTTTTTAGAAATATTATATGGTATTACGTATTATGTTAAAAATATACTTGTTTTTACATTTATGTATTTGATTTATCTTTTTAAAAAAGA